ACCACAATTTCATGTTGTCTGGACTAGAAACTCCTTCAAAAGGTCTCTGAGTCAACTGAAAATTCTCAACATCTGTTACTAAGTATCGGTCATTGTCAAGTATTTTTTTAATTTCGTAAGGACCTCGAAACTTTGGGATTAATTTTTTGTTAACTCCCGGGGTCACGTCAACATTTTTCAACATAACATAATCGCCTAATTTATATTTATGTGGGGGTCTATGTTTTTTATCAAAGTATTTTTTATTATATTCTTGGACTCTAATATTTTGCTTTTGGGCTTCTGATCTAACTTCTTCTAAATTTCTCTCATAATTTATTTCAGATTCTAAAAAATTTCTGAGATCATCCTGATCTCTCTGATCACACCGAATAGTAAAATTGAAGGGGTTGTTCCAATAGAACGACAATGAGAATTATTGATTGCAAACTCAACATCTGGGAGAAACTTGGGCCACTGATTCTTTGTTTCCGCAAGCTTCGACAACATAGGGGTTAGGTCTCTATTTATACGCTCTATTTGGCCATTCGACTTTGGGGAACCCGTAGCAATTTTCACATGAGTAATATTATTCTGTGACAAAAAATTCTCAAATTCTAATGACGTAAAGGCAGTTCCTCTGTCAGAAATAATTTTCATCGGACGACTATAATGTTGAAAATATTCCTCCAGCTTATGAACAACTTCGACAGTCTTAGTACTTTTGACAGCATAAAGCTTGACAAATTTAGTGAAGGCATCCACAACTTCAAAAACATATTTTTTCTGGGTGGGGGATTTTTCAAGGGGGCCATAATGGTCTATATGGAGGGTCAAAAAGGGCTTGTCTCCTTTAGGAATATTGTGGAGGACTCCTTCTGACTTCTTGGCAGAATACGAAATGCACTTAATACAATTTTTTACATAACTTTTAACTTTATCTATCAGATTGGGGAACCAATAAACTCTTGAAATATACTCGGCAGTTTTGTCAATGGCTACATGGCCTAGCATGTCATGACAATTGAAAATCACCTTACTTTCCATTGAACAGGGGACATAAAAAAGTGTTTTTGACTTATCTTTAAATTTCCTATAAACGAGGCCATTTCGTAACTCAAAATTTTTGTCATCACAATGAATAAACTTATCTTTAATAATTTTTATTTCAGGGTCGAGATTTTGGGCGATCGAAAGATTCTGCTCAAAAGTGTTTTCCTCAAGAACTAACACACTATTGGCACGACTTAATGCATCGACATGTTTCATTCGATTGCCTTCGCGATGCTCTAAAGTATAGTTATAATTTTGGAGTACCAAGGCCCATCTGTTTATACGTCGATTGATCTCTTTCTTGTTAAGGGCTAACTTAATTGAATTACAATCTGTGACAATTTTGAACCTAGGCAAACCTTGCAAATAAATTCGGAATCTTTCCAATGCACTTACTATAGCTAACATTTCTAGCTCATAGCTATGTAACTTAGATTCTGGTTCAGAAGCTCTCTTGCTAAAGTAAAAAACGGGCTGAAACAAATTATTTTTTAGCCTCTGTAAAAGGATCGCACCGAAACCAATAGCACTTGCATCACAATGCAGTTCGGTCTCCAAACTTGGTGAGAAAATCGCTAACACAGGGGCCTGGATTAATTTAGACTTCAAAACATTAAACGCTTCTAACTGACTAGCTCCGAATTCAAAAGATTTTCCCTTTCTCAACAAGTCATAAAGGGGTCTTGCTAATATGGAAAACGAAGGTATGAAGCGTCTGAAATATGAGGAGAGTCCTAAAAACTGTTGGACTTTCCTAGTCGTGGTCGGAATTGGATAATCAATCATAGCCTGAACATTCTGGGGATTGGGTTTGATACCATCACAATTAATTATATAACCCAAATAAAGAATTTCGGTCTGTAAGAATGAACATTTATTTATCCTCAATTCAAGTAAGTTAACTGTTAATAACGCAAACACTTCAGATAAAATTTTCAAATGGCTATCCAAATCTGAAGTAGCAATAAGGATGTCGTCTAAGTATATCAAAATTTTTTTGCTCCCTAATTAATTCTTTAAAAATTTTATTTACAAATCTCATAAACACAGACGGAGAGTTTGACATTCCAAACGGCATTCTCAAGAACTCAAACTGCCCTAAAGGACAAATAAAGCTTGTATACTTGACCGAATCATCATCCATCCTAACTTGATGGAAGGATTTTTTTAAGTCCAGGGAAGTAAAATAGGTTTTATTTTTAAGAAGGTCCAATTGGTCATCAATGAGTGAAATTGGATAATTATCCCTAATTATAATTTTGTTAATTGACCTATAGTCCACACACAACCTTTTGGAACCATTCTTTTTATTGACTAAAACAATGGGGCTACAATAGGGTGAATCGCTTTCTCTAATAATATTTTCTTTCAATAAATCCTCAATAATTTTTTGTAACTCTAATTTTTCGTCGTAGGCCAACTTTCTAGGACGAAACGAAATAGGTTGATCATTACTAACACAAATTTTCATTCTAAAATCAACTTGGGGCTTCTCTGGTCTTGGGGCATTTAAATATTCTTCTACAAACAGTGTCTCGATTTTGTTGTGAGTTTCAGGGTCTAATTTTGAATTAATATTTAAGGCTTGCAAATCATTAAACTCATAATCAATGTGGAGAATTTCATTTGGGAAATCAATAAAAATCATTAGAAACTGTATGAGGTTCGGAAATACTTTCAACGCTAACACAATCGGTCAATGTAATTTTAAAATTAGGCAAAGAAGTGAAATCTCTACCTACAAGAGCACCAAATGACATCGTTTCGTTCGAGACAACATGAAAAATTATGGGTACCCTGACCTTTTCAATAAAAACAGTGCCATTAAAAATTCCTAAAATATTCAAATTAGCTCCATTAAGGCCAAAATATTTTTGTTCAATGACAGAATCTTTATCAATAGATACATCTGGCAAGAATTTGGCTTTAATGAGACTTATTGGACTACCAGTGTCCAACATAGCAGTTAAATTAATAGAATTGTAAACATTTTCAACTTCAAATTTAAGCAATACATCAAGTTCATAAACATTATTAAAATTGGTTTTCACATTGGTTACCTGAATGTCTTGATCATTGTTCTGGACAACTTGGGGCTCTACACACATCGTAGTCGTAGTAGAGTCAGCGGGTGCCAACCTAACCTTATCTGGGCAATTTCTAACCTGGTGATCTCGCTTACCACATGAAAAGCAGGATCCACGTTCTCGTTTTGGCTTGGGGCAGGCACTAGCAAAATGCCCTGTTGCAAAACAATTGAAACACTTGTTTCTCGAACCATCTTGGCTCGAAGAAGGCGAAGGATTTGGGGCGCCTCTAATTGGACCTAGGCTACCATTTGAATTAATCCCTCGGACACTAGGAGGGGCATTGCCTCTCTCAATAGCACTAACATTGGACATAATACGTAGCATCTCATCCAGAGAATTAAAGTCTTTGATTCGTGCCTGGGACTGCAAGGATTCGTTTGTGAAGCCATCAATGATGTAATCAATTAAATCACATTCGGGTAAGTTCAGACAATTACCCAGCATAATCTTGTCGTGGAAATAAACTGAAAACTTTTCACCTCTTTTCCATTTTCTGGCTTCAAAGCGACGCATCCTGGAAACTCTGTCTAATCTTGAACCAAACATTTTCCTCAGCTCGATCTTCAAATCATCCCATTCCAACATAACAAGCTCAGTCTTTGAATGGTACCACGATCGGGCTTGGTCACATAATTTACCAACTGCAATCAGCATCATAATTTTAGGTTCTACATTATAGGTTTGTTGCACAGCCTCAACTCTTTGCAACCAAATTTCGACATCTTGGCCAGCGCCAGCAAATTGGGGCAACAACATTCCAACTTCGTCATTTTTGTATTTCTTTGGGGGCTCCACTGTCAGATTTTGGGGCGCCCGTTGCCTGTCCTGGTCACGTTGACGCAGATTGTCGAAAGAAATCATGGCCCTGACTGTGGCCTGTACAATCTCATTGATTGTCGCACTGGATGCTGTGTTTTCTGTATCCTGGGCATCGTGAAAATTCGTAGGGCTACTCGGCCTATCAAACCCTGCTTGAGCGATGCCCTCGGAGTCGTCATAACTTGTGGGATTATTCGGATTATTCATCATAAATTCAATACATAACCTCGAAAACAACGTTGATGTGTTTTATCGTGCAACCCCACACCTGAGCTGTAGTAAAAGACGAAATAATGGTGGAGGGATACTACTTTTGGCTTTTGGTTGCAACGATAAAATCAAACAACACTAATCGACTAATTAACGTTTAATTAAGCAAACTTACGGGGAACATAATTGTGCGTCTTGATCCCGACATAATCATGGGAGAAGAGGGCGATACCGCCAAAATTAGACAGGAGCATACCTGGCAGTATTGACACATAACGGATGTCACTAACGTCAGATGCCAAGCAACGTTGCCAAACATGCAACAGAGGAAACGCGCCAAATTCAAAAATGCTTAAAATTTGACTACACATGGTTTCTTTTCTTTTTTTTTTTTTAATAAAAATATATGAGAAATAGTCTCATATTAAGCATGCTTATATGAGATATGAGAAACAGTTAAAATATATGTCTCATATTGAAAATAGGAGGTCTGGCAACCCTACAGAACGCTCATTGCGCAAGACGAGGCAAAACGTACCAAATTATGTTAGACTTACGTATAGCAATCCGGCCTTCTTATTTGCACAGAATAAAAAGGAAAGGAGAAAAACCGCGTGTCGTGCAACGTATTTGTCAATGAAAATGTCAAAAAAACTTTTGAATGACACTTGTCAAGTTGAATATCAACTTTAGATTTATTCTTGTCAGACCACGTGCAATGAACAAGGATAAAGAGATGCCCAGCGTGCAAAACGATCACCTCACACCTGTATTAACTAGCCAATAGAAAGACATTGCCTCGTGTTGCGCGCGCATACCAGGTAAAAATAGATAGGTCTATTGATTAATTGAAAAAAACAAATTTTTCTTGGAAATTTTATTCTCATATTTCCTGATTTCATATGTTTAGGTTGGTAATACTACATGCCAAATATAGAAATCTTCTATTATAAAATCGCGAATGACAGTTCGATGGCCATCAATCAGTCAGTGTTACCAACCTCCAATAAGTAAAAAAGGAGTGTCACAAAGAGCTTCTTTTCGAAACTACTTTTAGTGTCGAAAAGACTTCGATATGACACCAAAATAGAAAAAATTATTTAATTTATTTTTTAAATACATACCCACAAAAGTGCCGTTATATTCCCTGTATGTGGGTACAATACTGTTTTTAACACAAACAAAAATTGTATATGGAACAATTGTTTCAACATTAACAAGTAAAAATAAGGCCACCTTCTTTGGCTCAATTATTAATATTGGCTTAAATGCTAATTACCTCAAGCAGAATATCTAATTGTCAGTCATATTATGCTTATTTTAGACTTATTACATTTTGAATCGAAATGTCAATAAGAAATATTAAATATTTATTTATTTATTTACAACATTCACAGCTCATATCACAAATTTATTTGCAAGCTAATTTTGTGTTAACCTGGGTTTAGCCAACTCATTAATGGATAATGCACAATTTTAATTCATAATTGATAATGTGTATTTCATAACGCGTAATGCATAAGAGAAAAGAGGTGTTTATACAACGCATAATTTTTGTGCAGTAAGAATTTGACAAGTCAGTTGAGATTGACACTTGTTATTTTTCATGAAATATTAAAAAATGAAATAAATAATGCTTTATATTCTTCGGAAAACCCCATCTGTATTATTTAAAACGGAAAAACTTGATTTTAGATCAAAAACCATTGAAAACAACAAGAAATCAGACAAGATTTTGAGTTTATAAAGCAAACCAAAGCAAATACAAAGTTGAAAATAATCAATTAATGTGCGCCTACGTGTTTTGTGCACAATGCATAATGAATACTGCGTAAAAGTTAAAAGTTAACCAACTTTGTGAATTACGCATTATACACTAAATTATCCACTATCCACTATGCGTTGTATAATGTGCATTAAGAGTTGGCTAAACCCACTTTTATTATTTATTTTAAAAAAAAAACTGAATACATAATACTTAAGCCGAATTTGAACTTATTTAATTACTTAGGTCGTCCTCATTATCACTAACATCGTCGTCTGTCGGTAAAATCGAATCGAAATCGAACCTAAGTACGCCGCCAGCCATTTTACTACCATAATGGCCGCTCCAAAACATTGTGTCTCTTCCTTCGTGGCAGAAATAAATGTTGGCTATATCTTCTGGGTAGTCCTTGGACAAAATTTCAACCTGAAATAGAAATACGGTTTAAGAAATGCCATCACCATTATTTCAACAACAGGGGTAGATCAGGGGCGGCTTCTCAATAAGTGCGCTCGTGCGCGCGCACTGCCTCCAAAAACCAAGCAAGAAAATAAAATTAAAATTTTGGAAAGAAAAGAAACTTCAATTAAAAAATACCTACCCAATTTTCTAAATTAGGATAAATATCTACTTATTTTTCTATTTTTAAATTCGCACGAACGGAACGAAAGCGCGCCCTGCGCCTGTCTTGTATATTTTTTTCTCCCGCTTGGTTGTGCTGGTGGTCCGGGTGGTCGGTGTGGAATCGTTCGGCGCTCTGGGTAAATGTGTTTTCTCGCTGTTCGATTGATCGGGAATATACGGTAAGTCGCCCGATGAAAGGGATGCGCCGTGCGCTATTTGAATACACACTTCCAATGTTGTTTCCACTCAATCGAGAATATTTCGATGTTTTTTCACCATTTTGGCGGTTTGACAACTCTGTTGTTCGCGGTTTTTTTTTAAATTATAAATTTCAGTATCAATTATGTATTATGGCTAGAATACAAACATTCAAGCCTCATTTAAATACATATATTTTTGTTTTCGATAATTTTTCCTAAAGTAAAAAGAAAAAAAATCAACATACAAAATAAATGTAAAACAGGACGTGGCACCTCCAAAAAATTTTCCAAGAGCGCACAACCACACTAGGTTGCCACTGGCCGCCACTGGGGTAGATACAGTCCAGCTTTGTCGTAGATTCATATAAATTCAATAGCGTTCAGATTTTGTATTAAATTTTTCAACTTAGAAGAACAGAATTTCTTTGAGTTATTCGGAAATGCACCCTGAACTACATGCATAAATACACGGGAAAATACACAGATGTAATACAGCTGTTTTTCAAATGGTATGGATCTCAAAATACACTGAATGGGGAAAACACAAAAACAGTTTGTAAAGTGAAGCCAAAAATAATAAAAATCAATTTACCTTTTCCCAAGCCCTTCCAGCCCACTGTTCAATTTTTTTTTCGACGGATAGGCTATAAGAAGCTGGATCTGGTTTCTCAATAGATGCTGCTAATATATACGCACGAACAGGATCCGGGATCATTGTAGGACTTGGCTGAATATGGTTCTTATTGCATAAAATGTTTAATTTATAAAAACACCCACAATCAAAGCGACCTGCGAACCATTCGCTTGCATACAGAGCGGGTTTGTATTTTCTGATTATGTACTTTAGTAAATTCTTCTCTTTCAAGTCAACCACCTGAAAATAATTATTATTAATTAAGGTACCTTTAATTTTAATCGACCTAATCACAGAAAGAGACAATACCTCCAATTTGCGACTGTCTTTTAAACCAGTTCAAACTGGGAATTACTAGGAATTACACAGGAATTGTTGGATGGAATCGAGAACAATTTTTGGAAATTGTCAGGAATTACTGGGAAATATAAGGTATTGCTAGGAAATTCAAAGTAATTCCCCAACGAGTTCCCCAATAAGGCATTGTGGTGTACAAAAACTAGATCAGCGGTTTACCCCTTGATTTATAATAAATATTACGAGTCATTATTTTCTCACCTGATATTTACTAGAAATTTCGAATGATGTAGCAAAACAACTTTGTTTTCCTCTAAAGTCTGGTATACCTTCTGGAAGAGGATCGCTACCTACTGGTATCTTTTCCACTCGGAATTTATCACCACCATTATAAACAATCGTCCAGTTTTTGAAGCCATCCTGGCCGTTTCCGTTTTCAATCAAATTCTTGAAGTTATCCGTTGCGAAATACAAGTAAAAAACGTACCATGGCAGATGCTTGGCCTTTTTAGGATATTCTTTTTCATTGTATATTGTGTGCCATAAAGCGTTCGATTTGGCAATATTGAACCAACGTTTGCATACTGAGGAACAGTTTAGAATATCCGAGGGGCTTAAGTAGGTGAAAATATTTGAAATAATTTCTTCTGGAATGTATACGTTCTTAATTTGTAAACCATTTAAGGAGTTTTCCTCCAAATCGAATTCTTTCAGGAATTTGAAGGTAGAACTAGTTGGGCCCATGTTTCAGATGTTTGAGTAATTCCTGAAATAATAAACTGATTAATCAAGTAGCATTATATTCGTTTGGCAAAAGAGAGCAGTGTGGTATTTGTTGGACTAGAAATTGCGACGATGTCAACCATTCTATTCTATACATAGAAAAAAACTGTCATATTATTGGAACCTTTACCTATCAAGATTTAAATAATACATATATTAACTACTGCCATTAACAGTTTTATACCAATTTACAGTCAGCCATAAGGAACCTTGAATAAATGAGAGAACTTTCAAAGAAATCGACAAGAAACAGAAGCTATAGAATAAATCTATTAGAAATAAAAATGTACAAAATTAATAAAATTACTGTATACCTATATATAGCTACCACACTTCCTATTGGTTGAAACGCCCTACCAGGACCAGTGCGCATGCACGGAGGAGATTCGGTACCTTGTGATGAAAATGACCAGTTAATGTCATTACTGCCGCTTGGATTTAATTCTACAATAGTTTTTTAAAGACAGTTATTTTTTGTCATTAAGTCTTCATTAGGCATAGTTGTCATGATATTATTTTTTTTTCTTTGCTATAAGTCGGGGCTTAATTAATTTCTAAACCTTCATTTCCGTTAAATTACATCAGGTTATGGGTCCAGGTGTCGTTTAATCATTCGCGAGACCCTTAGAACTTTGTTTTTAAAGAATATTGCAATCATGAGCTCCCGCCTTAAAGGACGTGATAATCACGACACGTGAAAATTCGCGTTACAAACTTATTTCGAACATGAAGAGAGAACAGAGACTGATACAAAAAGGTGACTAAAGCCCGTTCAAAAATAATACTTTTGGTTGACCCGGTGCACTATGTTCATGTGCAGTCATCCAAAACAGCAAAAGAAGCTTGGGACAATCTCAAAAAGGCTTTTGAAGATTCGAGATTAACGTTTCGTGTAGAACGTTTGCGTATTCTTATAACAACAATTTTGGAAGGTTGCAGTTCCGTTGAAAAATACGTAAACATATCGTAACGAATAGAGAGCTTGGACACTGCAGTAACAGGTGGCTCAATAAAAACAAAACCCCTGCGAGATGTTTCATTGGTTAAAGGACCTCATAAAAAACAGTGGCAATGTATGGTGCAGGTAAAAACAAAAATTATTCTAAAATAAATAAGTCTTCAGGGAATAATCAGAAAAAGGGCCAAGTTTTTAAAGGTCCCAGATGTTATTCTTGAAACAAGTATGGTCATTTTGCATCAATTTGTGATCAAAATAAAAATAAGAATAAGGAAAATCAAAACGGAGCCTTGTATTCAGCTTTTTCTGTAGAATGTAAAAGAAATGTAGATTCTTGGTATGTTGATTCAGGGTGATTCAGCACACATAACACCAAATAAGGATATATTTCATACGGAAAGAGAAGCAGCAAAATTAACAATAACTGTTGCGGAAATAACCCACAACAGGTTTAATTTTTATTATTTCTAATTTAATATATCTCAATTTCTATTATTTACCATAAAAATAGTATTCTGAAAATAGATGCAATTGCTGGACTATTTATCCTGTAAAACCGGCAACAACAACCCTTTGAACCAATAAAATTACATGTTTCTTCATTACCTTAAAGGCAGTGAACCTTTCTCTCCGCTGTGATTGGTCAGCCGCCGCACAAAATCCCTAGTTTTTGCGACATGCTCTCCTGGCAGAGTCTAGTCGACGCACATTCTTCAGTACTATTAGAATAAGCGAAGAGTTCGCACCCTCGCGCCCTCTGAATGCTCTCCAGGAGCAAAACCCCCGTCAGTAAGCGCGATTTATAGTAAAATACTACTCTCAAGGCCTGACATGGTCTATATTATTGATTACAATTCATGTAATTAACCCCTAATTGTTGCAAGTCACCTCGGACGAACAAAATTCTCTCGTACGCGCTTGTCTTTTGGCTCTCTCTCACTCTCGACGGGCTTCAACGCGCCTGTATATAGTTGTGTTTTCATCTCAGTGGAAAATTCCCTAGCTGCTAGTGCGAATAGTGATAAATGGATAAATAAGCGCCTTGTGGATTTATTTGTATAAACCGGATTAAGCAAGTAAGACCGTTACAATTTCTCTAACAGTCGAACAATAAGTCAATAAATACTGATTAGTGATTCGCTCGAAATGCACTATAATTTGAAGTGTATCTTCTAACGTTTAATGCAGAAATTTGGTTTTCACACTCGTGAAATTAACATTTGTACATTTGTATATAGAAACTGAGCATATATAAAGACTTTTCTTGCACATATTGTTTACAGACTTCCGCAGAAAAGTGCTCAAATTGTTAACTCACAATAAATAAAAGAACTATGTATCAAGAATCAATAAACATTTTTTGATTACAGTGAACTGATTGAAGTTGACGAATTATTTATGTTGTGCTCTCGTGCATTTAATTAGTTAATTTGTGTTCTCGTTCATTGAACATTTAACCACAAATGATATTATTATCATTTTCAGATTTCCCTACTTTTTATAAATCAAGATACTTATTTACTTACTTTAAATTAGTATAAAATTTGTAGTTCGACTGGACGTCCAATTAGGAATTTTTAGATAGGATTTCATTGCTGACTATACCGAATTACTTTCATTTATTAATTAAATTGATAATTATTATTCTATTTCAGCATTTCATTGGTATAAATGAGAATCAAGGCACCCCTAACCCAATACAAGGCTTAAATGATCCAACACCTAATGGTTAATTTTTACAGTCAGTCTAAGTAAAAACTTTTGGCATCCCTGCTGCGGTTTGACTAAAGCCCAAAAAGGGGCAATAGCTAGTTCCGTCACAATAAACAATAAGTCAGATTGTTGGCCTAAGGCAATGTAATGTAAAGTAAAAGGTGCTAAAATATATAATTCACAAGAAAAACTTATTGTAACAGCCAGTTTATGCAACAATTTGTTTAAATTGGATGTCAATGCGCAACAAGCAGCCTTATTGTCAGAAGGAAGTGAGAAAAAGTGAAATTTGTGGCACCGTAGGTTAGGACATGTGAATACATATATAGAGTAAATCTTAATAAAATGAAAAATGGTCTTGCTCATGGTGTTGATTACACAGACAATTTTGACTGAATGTAAAAGTTGTGTGATGGGTAATATGCACCGATTACCTTTCAAGGATAGTAAGACAGAATCATTAAAACCTCTGGAGCTGGTGCACTCTGATCTATGTAAAGTGGACCGATGCAAGTGGATACACATTCTGGCTCAAGGTACATATTTACACTTCTAAATGAATATACTGATTATATTTTTGTTTGTTTATTTTCACAAAAATCGAAGTCAAATCACAAAATATTTAAAGAAATTTCAGAATTTTGCAGAAAATCAATCAGTGCTTTGATAAAGCAAAAATATTGGTTTAAAGCAAAGATTCTTGTATATATTATAAAATTGATGGAAAAGTAAAACTAATAAGTAGTTGGAATTTATGTGGATGATATTATTTTTTTGTCAAATGACCAGAAGGCAAAAGAAGAACTGAAAAATCAACTACTCAGAGATTTCAAAATAAAGGATATTGGAGAAGTTAAACATTGAGCATGAGTAGCATCAAAGCCTCAATCAAAGCATTGGACAAGAGTACAACATCTCCATTAGCTAATGATGTAAGTTGTGTCAAGCTCATGTTGGAACATAAACCGTTACTCTTGATAACTTTATACATATATACCACCAGCACAGTCAATTACAGTATACGAGACACTGTTTCCTTGCCTGGAAAATTTGATATTCAATAAAGCTCTATATAGATTTCCTAATATTGGAAGATTTTATTATCGACTATCGACTAAGCAAATCAAAATATGAAATCAATATTGGAAATTTTTTGTAACATTACAGGGGCCAAGCAATATAATTCGATATCAAACTCTTTAGGCAGGACTTTAGATCTGCTAATTTGTAACTTGCCATGTATAGTAATAAGATGTACTGAGCCTTTCATAAAGGATAAAGAGGATCCCTTTCACCCAACTCTTGAAATAGAACTAAGTATAAACAATAGCTTTAAAACATGCACTCAAAATGCAAACTCCTACTACAATTTCAAAAAAGCAAACTTTTTCGGGTTATATCAACTCTTCGCGACATCGAATGGAATTGCTTAGAAAATGTAACTGAAGTGAATCAAGCGGGTGACATATTTTATGAACATTTGCATACTACCATTGACACATTTGTTCCAAAAAATGTAAACAAAAAAAAAAGTAGATATCCTCCATGGTTTAATGCTGAAATCATATTGGACATTCGAGCTAAAAAACGTAATCATAGATTATACAAAAAAACAAAATTGCCTCAGTGCTTGACCGATTTCAAGTTCTTAAAAAATAAAATCAAAAAAGATATCAAGATAGCGTACATACGATACATTCAAAATGTTGAGCTAATTTTGCAACAGGATCCAAAAAAGTTTTGGAGTCTCATAAAATCAAAGAAAAAAAATTCAAACAACTTCCCTTGTGAAATGATTCGGGAAAATGACATATATACAGGGGGTCTCAACATAGCTAATACTTTCGCTCAACATTTTGAAACGGTCTATTAACCTACCGAAAACACAACAAGGACCCAATTTACCGATACCCTAAATTTTGAATCTAGGGTGTTTCCTTATATTTTGACCCCTACCTACAGCTTTAACTATATGAGGTGGAAAAAAACTTTAAATATGAAAGTTGTAGGGTTTTATGTCTATTATCTTTTGCGAATGTCAAAATAGACAAATGACAGGTGCCAACTGTCACAATGACAAACACTTGCATTTTTCAAATGGAACACCCTGTATAGTTTTAGATAGAATGATAGATTTTTTCTTCTGATTCCAAATACATATACCATATATGTTGATAATTAGTTCAGCTGTTTTTACGCTATTCAAGCTGTAATCGAAAATCGAAAGGAGTTGTTCATGACATTCGACTGATCGATTTATTTCGATCGAAATGCCTCGACAAGTTCGGAGGTCTCGAATTAGGTTAAATTTC